TCCAGCACATCGTACAATACCAACAACTAACTGCTGTTGTCTAGTAACATATTTTAGGTAAACTGTATTTTACCTCGGATCACTGATGCGAGTTCATCATCCTTTTCAAGCTATGGAATAAGGAACAGAGAATATAATTAATAAATGATCGAGTAAAGTTGGTTGATACACACCTCAACAAAACACAAAAGAAATTGATTTTACATGTACATGCATTCAACATATGAACAGATGAAATAAGACTTGCATGGGCACAAGTGTATCTCATAATAATACTGAACCTTCTTATGCTTTTTCACATATAAAATACAGTTTGAGTGAATTTTACCTCAAAGCTGGCTCTAACCTGCTTTTGCCTTAATATAAAAACTTGTAGTATTTATCAAAGTTACTAATTTAGATATACAATGATTTTAAAAGTAAACTGAGATAGCTTAAATCAAACTGTACTGTATATTTGTAATACATAAGTATGAAGTTAATCTAAAACATATTATTCCAACACTAAGTCAATCTCATCTACTACATCATTTGGTTTAACCTTTTCACCACCAGTTTCTTTCTTCCATCAAAAAATCACAAATAATTCAGTCTGCATTTTGTTTCAGAAGATTGGTAAAAAATAGCAAAATTGTTTGAGTAAAAACTGAAAATTGGCTCAAATTTTGTCTTTTAACTCAAAAATTAGGGTTCATTTCTAGAAACATAGAAGAATATACCGGGTAAGAAAAAAGTGCAGAAAAATTTGGGTGAGAAAGTCTTATGGTAAAAATGTTAGGAAATGTTATTAATTTAGGGTGACCCTAGGTGATTTAAACATACGAGTCATGACTGAACGCAGCGTGTGTTTATGCATCATCACTTACCGGAAGTGGTTTTTCTAAGTAGACATTGAAGTTCTTGGTTTGGTGCGGTGTGAGCTTCTTCAGTGGCAATCTATGTTCTCCAATGAAATCATTGTGACCAAATTTATCCTCATCCAAGACAGATAATCTGTTAACAAAAAAATAATGAAAGTTTTTCGGGTGGGAAAGTTGTATTTCACACACAAAATAGGATGCCATATTGATTTTTGCTGATAAGAAAACTATGAACAGATCCATACACACAATTAACATAATTAAAACTGCCCCCACGCAACATGCAGAACTTTATCAGAAGCAGAAACACATCTCTGTCCAAGCATTCGCTGCTTTCAGTATCGCTATAAAGTTAGAATTACATTTGATTTCCTTGTATGCAGAATGGGATCATCATTGCATAGTACCATAAACCAAAATTACTATCAGACAGGTCACAGTTGAAGACTGTGGCCACATGTGATCCCTGGTCAATCAGAATTTTATGGTTGCCATCTGCTCCCCAGGGTAAGGGGGTGCATGGCCATGGTATGAGGGCACTGCGCCACTGTTCCCTTGTTTAAAATCCC